AAATAGGCACTTACTTAATTCTCTAAAGTGCTGCAAACTTCATCGGCGACGAACTCAGACTCCCCGAGCTGCAGGCCCACAACCTGTTAGAGTAGCAGAAAACTTGGAGTCCGGCAGCAAGCACACACGAGTTGTAAGAAGCCGGCACTTAATTTCACAAGCGTATTTATTTATAAGAGAAGGCACAAAAGTGATACAGTGACGCCACGAGTAACGGAACTCTGAAAGAAAAGCAATTTTATATATATATATAGATAAATGCAGCCGGTAGCGATGTAGCTTATGGTGAAGCTAGCGCTGGAGTGTGCCGCCGTGCTAAAAGGAAGAGACCAAGAGGAGAAGAGCCAGTAGAGAGAGTAGACTAGCTACCAGGCTAATAGATAGGGCTGACAGACTCTTTTTCTAGATGGTTCTAGATGCTAAGTAGTTTTGCTGACAGCTCTGTATGGATTAAAAATAATTCCTAAGAGATGGAGCAAAAAATTTAGTGCAAAGATGCTAAAGTTAGGCTTAGAGAATGATCTTCATGAAACATGTTTGTTCTCTTGGAGGAAAGAAGGAAAATTATTCTTTATAGTACTTTACGTAGATAATTTGCTGATAGCAGGGAATGCTCATGACAAAATAGATGAAATCATAAAGAGTTTGAGCAAAGCGTTTGACATGAAAAAGATACCTCAGAGTGGTCTTCTCTGGCCTGTTATTGTAGCACCAATCGGTTGGAGAGAATAACCATAATCCTCTTATGCCTTGAAACAAGTTGTAGTGTTCTTTCTCAACGTCTCCTGGTGTTACGCTGGAGACGTTGGTGCCTAAAGCATATTTTATTTTTGTAAAGCTCAGTCGTTTTGGTGATTCAAGGTGTGGAGATGGGTTCGTAATGCTTGTCTATTGAAGACTGTCACATTTGCTCACGTTTATTTCTCCTTATCAGCTTTACCCAGAGTGAGGTTTATCCAGCACAAACCTTGGAGAGGATTGACAGTTCCTGGTTCAATACTTAGAATCGTGAGGGAAATGCAGGGTCTTTGGTGGCTAGAGTTTTTGATTCCCTCAGTGTTTTGGGTCCTGTAGTTTTGTCATTCAAAATTATAACTCAAGAATGTCAGAAATTTAAAGTAAGTTAAAATGAAACACATTCTAAAGATGTGTCTTTTACCGAACAGTTGGGCTTATCAAAGACTTATTAATACCACATTTTATACTGCTGCTAGATCTAATAACGATTTAAGTTCATGGGTTTTGCGACACTAGCAGACGTGGTTATAGTGCTTGTTTGTATATTCAATCGATAGACCAACAAGGAAAATTTTGAGTTAATCTAGCTTGTAAAAAGTTTAACGTTTCCCCAGTTTAAAAGTTACTATTCCCCGACTTTAATTATGTGGTGTGGTTCTTTTTAACGAGGCCAAACGAACTTTTAATTTTTCAATCAATCGCATCGTATTTTCGTCGTATAATTGTATGCGCTCATTTAATCCCTTTAGGTTCACTTAAAAGCTGAGAGCTTCAACTATTACTTTTTTTAAATGTATTGAAGTCGAAAAACGGTTACTATGGACAATACAGCTCGAACGTTTTTTTTTTTGTGGAAATCAAACTACTGAAAAATGAGAAAAATCTGAGTAGTAGTAAAAAAAAATTAAACACTTATTTTTATTTCAAAAGAAAACACTTATACACTTGGTGAACCATGGTAGTAGAGGCTGAATCTAGCTACCTACTCGACCGTTCAAGGGTAAAAATTAACCATGTTTTCACCTCGTGGTATACTGGAAGGCAGCAGAGGTGGACTCTTACTATTCAGTCTACCGATCGGGGGATGAAAACTAAGTGAGCGAGTTTTCAGGGCCTCCAGGTCTTTTTATAGGAAGTAGTTGACCTCTGTCAGACGCTCGAAAACGATGCAGGAAAACTTGCAGGGGAAAAATTTGAAAGAAAAGATATTAGCCAAGAACCTAATTGCCTAGAGCTGCTTTAGTTCAGCCACTCAAAAATTGATATTCTCCATATCTGGCTCACTCTCCTCCGTGCGTCAAAAGAAGGGACGGTGATTTACTCACTCTTGCCCTTTCTGTCTCTTTTACATCAATCTTTACATAATTTAATTGTAACTTAATATTAACATCGAAATAGAGTATTATTAATGTTTACTAATGCCAAACACTTTTTGTTTATTCAATCGAACTTGTTGCAAAAAGACGATGGCCGTTGCAATAATAACATAATTATAATATTAGTTGTAGGAATTACAAAATTAATAATAATAATAATGATGATAATAATNTATCACCACCAGACCTTTAAAGCAACTGCAAACCAGTAACTGACGACAATAAAATGACAATAGTTGTAACCATACTAATAATAATATTAACAATAATAATAATAATTCTCATAATAATAACAATGAGGATAATAGTTGTTATAGTAAGGATAGTAATAAAGACAATAATACTGCTCCTGGAACGAGTTAAAATAATGAAGTTTTCAGGTAGTTTTGGCTAACTATAATGTTGCAAAAATAATTCACAATTTTTGGTAGAATTTTGGTCAACTTATTTTTCATCACTAGTCGTTCTGTCGGCTTGTGTTACCCTGGAGGATCGGAAATTCCGTTAATGTAAAAGTACTACTTACTGGCCATGTAGCAGCTGTTATTAAAAGAACATCATATATCTTAAACAGCTTTTAAAACTTTAACTTTTGTTAGATATTATTTGAAAGCTATGACTCTATTTTAAACTATACGATGTATAAAAGTCTTATATCTAACCGTAGACAATAATTATTTATAATTATCTCAGTATGTCAGATGCTTTAGTACATGTCCCCTGAAAAAAAAGGATGCCTTAGTGACCCAAATTCAAGAACCAGTAACTGGCCACCCCAGGCTAAATGTACATAACTTGAGATGGCCGACTACTAGTGCTCAACGAAAGTGAGGTTATGTACACACTTTTTGTACAAGTGATTTAGTACTTAGCCACCATTTTTCAAATTTTTTTTTGAAATATTGAACTAAAAAAACTAACTTCATTGCATTTTAAAATAAATTATTGATAAATTTTTACCGTAATGTTAGCCTGGCACGAAAAAGTATTAAAGTTAATTCTTATAATTTGTGAAATGGTGTTGAAGGCTAGGTACGTGTCCTGGCCAGTAATTAGTGCCTCTACCTTAATAAAAAAATAATAATAATAAAATAATTTGATAAAAAATGGATTAGTCGATAAATCATGTGCCTGCGAACATAAACGGTAAAAATTGGATAATTCCTTAAAAGTTAATAAGGTTGCTCCACTAAGTTTACCGTAGTTAATACTTCTATCGGTTATGTAATGTTGTTTCTTGCTTAAAATGTAGCATGTATGGGTTGTTTCTAATTATATGTAAGAGTTCTAGCACTTACTGTTATTTTTGCTTGATTTTAATCTATATGTATTAACTCTAAGTTATTCTAGTATTTGACATTATGTCATTTAATCTTGATCCATATACATTAAAGTTATACTAGCATTTAATATTACACCCCAGAGCAGCTGTTCCCAGTTAAACTTTTACTTTTATTAGTTTTTACGGTTCTTCCATTTATATGTACATTGAAAAGAATTTTGTTTGCTTTTTATTTCTGGTCAGCATAGGTCAGCGTACATGTGCATGAATCATAGTTGGTCATTGTGCTGCAGCTGTGAGTAAACTTGCAGGTGATTCACCTCTTTTTAGATGCACATTGGTCCTTGCTCAAAAATACTTTTAAATCAATTTGGAGAATTCCGAAGGAATGAGGGGGAAAAAAAAATTATTAGTAATTGTAGTTTACCAGCATTACACTAGTGTCAAACTAAATTGCTTGTTTTATCATTTTGTTATTTTTATATAATTTTTTTTTTTTCTTCGTAAATAATGCCAAATTGTGCGTTTGGTCACTGTTACAATGAAAAAGGAGAAGTTAAAAAAAAAAAAATAAATAAGTAA